ACACACACACACACACACACACACAACCTTCTTGAAGTAATAAATGCATTCAGTAAAGTGGCAGGACACAAAAGTAACTTACAAAAAATCTATAGCAGTTCTATATACAAACAACAAGCAGACAAAGACAGAACCGAAGAAACTAATTCCGTTTACCATGGCCACAAGAAGCATAAGATACTTAGGAATAAAAATAACCAAGGAAGTAAAAGACCTCTACAAGGAAAAGCTTAAAAAAATAAATTGAAAAGGACACTAAAAAGTGGAAGTATATCCCATGTTCCTGGATTGGTAGAATCAATATAATCAAAATGTCAATTCTACCCATATTAATCTACATGTTTAATGTAATCCCTATAAAATTACATGAGATATTTTTCACAGACCAAGAAAAGACAATCAGATTTTGTCTGGAACCATGAAAGACCCCTTGTTGCTAAAGCCATCCTGCACAAGAAGACAGGAGTAGGTGGCATCCCACTTCCTGACCCCAAAATATATCACAAAGCTTTGATAATCAAAACAGCATGGTATTAGCACAAAAATAGACTTGAATACCAATGGAACAGAGTAGAGACTCCAGAAATAAACCCCAAAACATACAATCCTGGGAGGAGGGTTCCTCTCTTTTTCTCTCTCTCATGCACCCTCCAGAAAAAAAATTTAAAGCCCATTTAAATTAATTATTTGCTTAGTGCTTTATAATTACTTTTATTTTTATGGAGACCAGTTAGAAAGGTGGGAAAATATAAAATGCTTGAAGAATAATCATCAAGATAGCCAAGTACATTTGGAATGTTTTTCTGTGTTCTTTCCATGTTACATTGATCATGTGCTAGTTAATTACACTTTACTAGATCTTGGGAAATGTTAAAAACATGAATATGAAAGATAGAAATCAAAAGTGTCAGTACAACCACACATTAAAATAAAAGATAGAGGGACCAGCAGTTAGAGTAATGGCTATGTTGCTGAACTCCCACACAGTTGATCGCAGTTCAAGTCCCAGACCCAGTGGCTTAAACTCATGCCAGGCGCATGTGTGTGCATGCCCAAGATCCTGAGAGGAGAATGGAGGAGAAGGGATTGGAGCATGGCCCTCCCCCCGAGGGGTGATTTTTCCCTTTCTGTCTCTCTGTCTCTGTCTGTCTGGCGAGCACATACGCTCTATAGCAAAAACCTCTCCACAAAATAAATAAATAAATAAATAAATAAATAAATAAATAAATAAATAAAAGATAGAGGATAGTACTGATGTTCTATCTGTCAGTGTGATAAACCATGCTCATATATTTCTGTGTATGACTTAGCTTATGTTCTCCAGAAAACTAGCTTTTCTTGATTCTATATCTAAAACTTTCCTTAAATTTCAAAGCCAATGAAAAATTAGGTTCTTTTGGGGCAGTGGTATGTCCCCTGTGGGTCCCTTCAGGAACCTAGTTCTGGGAGATCTGTCTGCACCAGGTGTGGACCATGATATCCACACCTGGAGACATTAGTCCCTGAAGCAAGACCTCGAGTTTATATTTTAATTCAAAACTGAGCCTGCAAGTAGCAAACTGGGAACTCCTGCTGTGCCAAGCTGGAAAACAGCTCAAAGCAGTTCCTTGGAGGACTTTATACAGGGGCATCCATCTGATAGCAGTGAAGGGAATATTGTACTATCTACTTTTATTTATATCCTTTCACTTTTCATATGTTGCTAAGAAAGCTGTAAACCCTGTGAACCGTATTCTTGGGAACCAGGGATGTTGGCTGTGCTTTTTGTTTAAAAGTGACTTAAAGAGTCACCTTAAGTTACTTTTCCCCCAAAAGAAGATGTGCTTAAACACCAGTGAGATGAGCAGTAACATCTTTATTCAACACCAAAAAGTCTGAGTCTGATGTGAAAAAAACTCTCCTGGAGCTAGTTTGGGATCCCTTCCCCTCCTAGTGGCTGGCGGTGGGTTCAGGTTCAGTGAGAGAATGACACTCTCCTAGTCTTTCATTTTGATCTGCTTAGGCTCCAGCTGCTTTGACTAGGTGGGTCCTGGTGCTTTGTGGGCAAGGACACCACCTTTGACACCTGAGTTGCCCAAGTATGAAAGACCCACTGCTGCATTGTTCACCAGGCTATGGGTCACAGTGGGAATGAGGCCATACAAATTCTGTTCTGTGGTATAGTTCTTATCACTAGGTGGTGTTCACCTGTTGTACTGTGATTACCATGTGCACAAAGTGGTCTTGGAAGTCCCACAGATATGGCTCGTGCAGGTGACAGGCTTAATCTCCATGGTAGTTACTGTGGAGTGGTGGTTAAGGTGGAATGTGTAGAGGTCAACAGGTGCTATGGTGGTTGAGGCGTGGGACTCTCCTGAGGTTTCAGTCATGAACCTGGAGGTTTGCTTTCTCACTTTCCCATGCTCTCTCTGTTGCTCCCTGGTGAATTAAAATAATGATCACGATAATAAATAAAATTAAATAAATCATTCTTTAAAAAAAATATGGACTGTGTAGACAAGGATACCATGATTGCTCTGGGCAACCAGTCTTCCTGGGTGAAGGCACGTCTGGGCTTGAGGTGACAGGCTCAGGCTCAAATGACAGTAGCCTTACCTGAACAGGCTCTCTGAAGTCCAGGCTCCACTAGAGCAAGCAGATAGCACTCCACATGGTTGGGAGAGGCCCGGCACTCCCAGAAGAGAGCAGTCCCACTGTGTTTCTAACACAAGGCAACCCCAGCCTGTCTTTTCCTAAAAGCCTGCTCTTTAATTTGCTTTCACAGAGGATCAAACATCCTGATGAACCTTTGTCTAGTTCTCCCTAGTAAAGTGTGGCGAGCCAAAGAGGAGGCATGAGGAAAGTGCAGGACATGACCACCAGAATAAGACCAGGGTTTTTATCCGGACATGGCTTTGGGTGGCTGGATTGTTATGAGCAGAATGTCTTGGGATTGTTTTGAACTGAATGTTCCAAAGTATTGTTATAACAACCTGATAAATTCAGTAAGGATTTAAAACCTTACATCACGGAAGTCTCTGGAGTGTGAATAAATACTAACAATAAACTTAACTCGCGGCTGACCAGTATTGACTGGCAGTCCTCCCATTTCTATCCTGTCTTCTTGTTTTTCTTTAATCCTCACCCCCAAACTCAGGAAATGTTCGCTGTTGGCGGGTCTGACAGTAAAGTGATGCTGGGATGAAATGATAATTCAGAGAGACAGTGGAGACTTATCTCAGCCACCTTTGTCCACCGTCTTGTAGTATGAATTATTTTTAGCAGCTCATGTGATTGCTCCTACAATTCTGCACAAAAACGAGGTGGCTTCTAATTTTCCTTTGGGCTGTCTCCACCTGAAGTTTTCATTTAATGGCTACACATTGTGACATTAAATTGAAGTCAGGTGATATCACTGTCAATTTTTGCACCATGAAAACCCTGTTCCTGGGAAATGAATGAACAGAAGTTTGCAGTCCCAGTGGCTCATGTCAGGGAGGGCTGTGGTGGCATGAGCTGTGGGGTGGGCTGTGGTGTCCGATGTGTCTGTGGTGGCTGTGGTATCTGGAACACCCATGGTCAGAAAGCAGTTGCACTAACTTCTCAGAGGCTCAGGCATCTCTTGCTTCTCCCTGTTCTGGCTGCATAGGGAGTGAATGTGACCTTGATGTTTGCTGAGAGATCTGAATGCGAGCATGCAGGGAAGCTGTAGCAGTAGTGTCTGAATCTCAAAAAGGCTGGAGATTGTGCAGATAGAAGTCATTGCTGCTTCATCAAGTGGGGTGGCATGAATGGCTGGAAAAATGTGGTGCCATGGCACTGCCTGGGGAGCAAAGATCTCCAGGTGGGACTGAAGATGAAGCCCAAAAAGCCCATGCCCACTTCCAGAGCCATGCAAGCAGCAATGGTCACTGAATGTCCCTTCATCAGGTGCTCAACTCATGGCCCTTCAGAAGTGTCATGGCCAAGCTTCTCCAGCCACACCATCCACTGGTGGTGTGTCCCTTCCTACACAGAACTGTCACTGGCACTACACTGGGCTGGAGAGGGTGCCAAGGGAAGGCAGAAGTCTGTGGGGTAGGGTTGAGTAACAAACCACTGCTAATTTTTCTGTTAATTAAAAATTGCTCTAAAATATATCTCATCATTTTTTTCTACAAGGTTTTTGTCATAGGGCACATGAACCCACTGAAGAGAGACAAAGACAATGAAAATTAAAATGATAAATCACCCCACAGGGAAGATGGTCATACTGCAATCCCCTCTCCATTCTCATTTTGGGATCTTGGGCATACACCACACGTGCTGGTATGCTTCTCAAGCTACTAGGTCTGGGACTTGAACCAGGGTTAATTATGTGGGAGTCCAGCACCTTTACCACCACTAGGCCATCTGCTGGCCCCTAGCCAATCAATTTTAAGAAAAACATTTTCCTAACTTGATCATCTAAAACATGTCTAATCTCAATAGAGATGTACTTTAAGTGTAAAATATACAATGGGTTTTAAAGATTTTGTATAAAAAATGAGTGTACAGCACTTTTATAATCATTACACTGAATATGTGTTGTGATGGAAGTACTTAATTTGAATAAAACAATACAATTTTTCCAAACTCCAGGGCTCTTATGGTGTCAGACTTGGTCATTGCAAGGTGTACCCACCACACACACTAATAAGAGTATGACCAAGGCAGTTCTACGTCTTGTGACTGTCACATATCCTTATGGCCTCCCTCACTCCTTTGTTGCTTCTGATGTAGGGTGAGGCTGCAGTCATGTCCCTCCCTGCCCCCTGAAGATATGTTAAAGACCTACTACTGGTGCCTGGGACTGTGGAAATACAGTCATTCCAGACCTAACATGAGGTCACTGAGGTGGTATGGAACCCAATATGATAAGTATCTTTATAAAAATGAAAAAATGCTGTGTGACCAACCAGAAATTGGAGTGAGATAGCTGCCAACCAAAAACTGCTAAAGATTCAATACCAAAACCAGACGCTGACAAGAGATAAGAACAGAGTCTATGCAGTTGCAGAGGATTCCTGGCCCTGCTGAAGCCTCGACTTCACACTTGTACCATCCTGAACTGTGGAATAAAAGGTTTCTGTTTTTAAAGTCATGTAATTGTCAGTACTTCCTTACAGTAACCCTAGGAAAAGCTACAGATGTCAGATCCCTTCCCATTAGGAGTAACTTTCAGGAAAAAAATGCTTGCTATGAACAGATGTCCCTTGCCACATATAGCTGATGAAGACATTGAGATATTTGAGAGATCAGAGATATTGTTATAAGGAATTGACAATTTTGCTGGAGATCATGGCGATTAAAAGACCTAATGTGTAGGACCAGCAGTTAGCATAATGGCTATGTCGCTGGACTCCCAAGTAGTTGACTGCAGTTCGAGTCCCCGACCTGGTGACTTAAAAACATGCTGGGCACATGTGCGTGCGTGCTCAAGATCCCAAGAGAAGAATGGAGGAGAAGAGATTGTGGCATGACCATACTCCCGGGGGGTGATTTCTCGCTTTTTGTTCCTCTGTCTCTCTCTGTCTTTCTGGCGAGCACATGCACCCTATAGCAAAAACCTCTCCAAAAAAAGGGAAAAAAAGAAAAAAGACCTAATGTGGGAAAAAGGGCTTTCAAAAGATGTTGAAGTCAAGCATATCTGGTACTTTTCTGCTAATGTCTTAAGAAAAATAGACCCTGGGACTAGCAAATGGTGTAATGGTTACATTACTGGACTCCCATGTAGTCAATCATGGTTCAAGTTCCAGACTTGGTGGTTCAAAACTCACACCAGTCACATGTGCGTGTGTGCTCATAATCTCAAGAGGAGAATGGAAGAGAAAATATTGTAGCATGGCTATTCCCAGGAAGGGGGTGGTTCTTGCTTCCTGTCTCTCTGTCTCTTTCTGTCTCTCTGCAAGTACACATGCCCTATAGCAAAACATCTCTGTAAACCAAAAGAAAAATAGGTCTTCATACAGTTCAAAATAAACCCAAGAAAACTCTGTAAGTACTGAATTTTTCTCTACTCATTTCCTTATTTGGTATCAGAAACTCTGGTTGTCTCAGTTTACCAAAAAGAAATCTAACTGTTCGCTTTGAGATTATATAGATTAATTTACAAGGATATAGATAAGTGTAGAAGAGGAGTCAGGGTTCCTGACATCAATATGGGGCTGGAGAGAAATGCAGAGCAAGGCAACTGATTTGAAAAGTCACACCTTGGACCTTGAAATGAGGAATCCAGGTCTTGAGTAACTCTGAATATGATTTACAATTTTAAATACAATACCAAGTCTTGGGATGGAATTTCCGAGGCTGATAGAGGAAGGCAAAAAACTAAAGAGGGAGAAAAATCCTTAAATTTAATTTGGTAAATTAAAATTTTATGAAGAAAATTAAAAGTACAAAGGAAAGCCCAATAATCACCACTAAGTACAAAGGAAAGCTGAGTAATCACCTCTTGGTAGATAAGTTTACTTAGAAAAAAGTAGCACTAGCAGGGCAATCTCAATATGAACTTACACCAATATATTTAAATTTCTTTAAGAAATAAAGGACCTTTTTTATTCAAGGTGTTTCTTGACAATGTGACCTACCTCTTTGCCCACTTTCCTACCTCTTTGCCCACTTTTCCACCATCCTTTGTCTTCTGGGAGCCTGGAGGCAATGGTGGTTACAGTAGTGCTACTGGCTGCTCCGCAAAGAACAGTAAGAACAAAAAATAATATCCAAAGGCATTTTGGTACCAACAGTGTCATCTATAGCAAGAAAGATGAGCAGTCTGTTTCAACAGATGAGATTTCCAAAATCAGTGAGCCAAGACAATGTCAAAGAAAATACAAAAAAAAAAAAAAAAAAATTTTTTATTATTAGGAGCATGAAATTTGAATTAAGTACTGTAAATGTACAAACAACAAAGCCACCTAATAGAAGACCACTTGCAAATTTGGAGGTTACAATTGGCAGACTTAAGAAAACTACAGAAGATACAACCAAGAAGAGAAAGGAGAAGCTCAGTCCTGAGTTGGTGGAGGCTCCATCTGTTGTTGCAGAATCCCTTCCTTTCAACAAGCAGAGGACCAAATCAGAACTGCTCAGGCAACTCTGGCAGCATGAGAAAGACGTGAGCACATAAGTAGATGGAAAGAGATCTAAAATTAGTGTCAGGAACATAACATCGGATATGAAAGTTGCCAGATCTGTTACAGCTAGAGTTAGTACAAGACCAGAGCATCAGATTCAGTTTGATGAAGGATTGGACAGTGACCTTGGCCAGGAGAGG